TGTTTGCTTTTTCACTGTAGGACTCGTTTAACATATCGGCATCGGTGGTCGGCAAAGCTGCTCTACTCCAGTTTGCACACGTTCACCTACCCGACCCTACTTAAGTACGGCTCGCTTATTGTTGGAAACCCCCTGACCTAGTGGTGAATTTGTTTCCATTCCTTTTTTAGGCATAAGTCTGGAGTGTCCATTTATTGAATCGAGAATGATTTGACTTCATTTGCTATGGCAAGATGAAACTCTCCCCCGCCCGGGAAACTGAGCGGACGAACGCACGTGGCTCCCCCCCCCGTACACACTCGGTAATTGTCGCGGCGAAAGAACAGAGCTCATCACAGCTGCAAGTAGGGGTCAAAAGTGTTAAGCGCAATGGTTTGTGAATTGCGAGTACTGGGAGTAGGTGTTGTCGGTTTTAGTGCGGATGTTACGGTTTGGGGAAAAACCCACTAAAGGAATGGAGCTTGCAATGCAGCATTTGGCCTTCCATAAAGTTTGAAGTGTTGTACCGTAGAAGTTACTGGTAGACAGAGCTACAATGAAGCACCCACAGAAATCGCTCTTCATAATAGACGCTGGCTCAATAAGTAAGTGAAATACTCAAAACTTATTGCCGACTCAGGTTTCAGCCTATTGGATCGGCGCTTGAAGTAGCTGCAGAGAGTAAGGGGGAGGGGGCATTGTGCATCTCAACTGAAAGTGCCAACCGTTGTGTCAACATCTACGCGTCGCTGACCTCATCGAATACCGCACAGAATGCCCTGAATTCCGTGGCTCTGCTCAAATATACCCCTCCAACCCTGTGAGCGCATTGTATGATTCGGTGTTGAGTCTAAAGCAGCGGGTAGTGCACACAGTAGCGCAAGTATGTTTTGCCTTAGCGCATCACAGTATGAGCCTGAGGTACCACCAGCAGCCAATTGTAGGTGCCGGGAATTTTGGAGTTGAAAATAAGTCAACCCCTAAGTATGTCTTGAATCATCTCTTTTTTAAATGGATTGACCACCGTTTAAGCTGACTTCAGTTAGCACAAAAGGAACGGTACGCGCAATACAGGCTGAGTGAAAGATGGCGATGGTACGACCGCAAACTGGTCACCAGGTATGTGTGTGAGAAGCAAGGCGGAGACGGAATTAACTGGCTGTCTCCAGAAAGATTCCACAATGCCAACTCCCTGCAGCAGACAGATTCTACAGGTATAGATTAATTCAATAGGCGAAACCTGGCTAAGGCCAATACAGAGATTCCAAACGAATCACACAAAGGTGAAGAGTGATATCTGTGATGCGTTTCATGCAGCACTTCTCGTGATCAGCTGTATGACGGAACTGAACACTGAAACCTTGGAAAAGTGCATGTCATTGCAAGTTCCCTATAGCGCTCAGCTATTCAAAAGTGTTGGGCATTTGCCTGGGGAGCGTTTAACACAATTAGTGATGCCTCCACAGCATAGATGGTAGTGGTGTAACGGAGATGACAGTGGCAGTAGGCGGGAGGGTTTGACAAAAAACGCAAGCAGCCATGCGAATACGCCAAAGGCAGGTGGAAGTAAGTGTTTATCTGGTGCGGTGTAGTAACAATGGGAGACAAATTTCACCGACGTCTGTAAGGTGTGGTAAGAGGGAAAACCGCTCTTGGGAATCGGAGCTTTGCCTGGCGGTCTGTACTGTCACCGACGGTATATACAGTTCTGAAGACCGCAAAGAGGTAAACTGTCAGCCGCTGCCTACGTCCCATTAACCTACAGAATCTCCTTGTAAACGACATTTTTTGAAGACGCCTGGGAGTGAAGACGAATACGTCCTCGCTTCTCCCTACACGCAAACAGCCTACGTAAAGCTGGCCGTGGAAAAAAACACTGCTGTTCAAGCGACACGTAGTGTTTGGCCCTGTGATTTATTAATAGACATTGCAAAGCAAAATCTGACGGGAAACTGCGACTGGCGGAATGTAAAGGGCACGTCTGAACCTGACGGAGATAGATGCATGCGCGGTATGAATACAGTTTCACCCCTTCAGCAACCGGTAAGTATTGTCACTTCAATTAAATTTGGTGCCAAAGATTTAACCACCATGCGTGTACCATTACACTGTTTCTGGGGAACCAGGTTACGCAAAAGCATAATGGGGGCGCCCACTTTAAGTCTCAGTGTGTGAGACGGAAGCCCCGCCGGTTCTAAGGAATTCAGAAGTTCGACCGGGTTGTTCGTAAGGTGGGCCGGGTCGGGCGTACTGTCGATGGATTTGTAGATGCAATCGTCCCTGGGAAAGCACTGCAGGATTTTCTCATTAATGCTAATAACTGTGGTGTTTTTTGTAGCAAGAACAGGTCTTTCAGGGAGCCACTAAAGGTTACAGTAGTTGGCATTAAGATGCGGAAAGACGGCATCTCTAAGCTTGTTGATGGGTGTCAAGAACTGAACACAGTGTTCTCAAATTAATGTAGCCTTCTGCGTCTGAAGGCGTTCGGTCCTTCCCGAGGGCTAGAGGGCCCCTTGAAAAATCAGCGGACCAGTTTGTCCCCAGTAGTATGAGCGCGCATGTTGGTGGTCAGTTGCAATGACTGGACATGGGCCCAGAGTTTGAACGACTTAAGGCACTCACGAACAGCATCGGCCCATGTCCCTTTAGGAATGACAAGCAGGGTTTGTCGAAAGTCACCTGACAGAAGGAGAGTGAAGCCACCCATGAAAGCAGTGGAATCCCTAATATCTTGAAGGGACCTATTCAACGCCTCGAGTGATTGTTTGTGAGCCATAGTGCACTCGTCCCACACTATGAGTTTACAAACTCTTAATACGTCAGTCTGTCCCGAATTTTTTGAAATGCTACAAGTTGGAATTTCGGCCTTGGCAAGGTCAGGCGGAAGTCTAAACATAGAGCGCGCCGTCCGTCCGTCCACCCGGCAGCAATGTGGCCGCAATCCCGGATGTAGCAACAGCAAGCGCGATATCTCCGTGCCGCCAGATTTCATCTAGAATCAGTTTTGTAACGAACGTCTTCCCAGAGCCACCGGGTGCGTCTAGGAAGAAGATGTCACCGTCGGACGGCGTCAATCACCGTGGTGTTAGCTGTTCTTTTTGCTGGTAGGAGGCGTAATTCATTCTCTAGGACATAGTGGTCGAGGTCAGCAGTGCAATAAGACGTTTCGCGCAGTATTTCTGGTGATAAGTTGGCAGTGCCATCTCGCACTGGCGGAAGTAACCCGTATGTGGTTAGCGCAGTTCCACTCATTTCAATAGCAAAGTCTTCAACCTGAATGGGCGCCCTATTGTAAATAAGGTCCGTGTAGCCCAACTCAGCTGACGGACATTGCTGCTGTACCACATACAAAATGTCTTCCGACATAAAGTCTTTGTACTTAGCCCATAAATCAGGAGTTTCCTTATTTCGCATCATACTATTAGGTTAGTGCAAAAATAATGATATAATAATGTCGTTTTTGAGGTTAAAAAATACGTCACAAGACGACATTATTACGTCATTATTTTTGCACCAACCTAATATTAAGATAGCGAATAAGCATCGAAGGGTCGCGGGTGCCTGTAAGAGAGCTCCCTCTGCCATGCCAGCATCCCATTGAAAATCATCCTCCAAAAACCCACATTTAAGGCAAGCCTCTCGGTAGGTGTTGCGCGCGACGCCATCAACAGTGCGAATGGCCTCGAAGCTTGGACCAACAACCTCATAAAGCAGAAGCCGGAGGTAGAAGCACTCCTGCTGATTTGGTGACACAGTGTAGACAAGACCAAAGGCAGGTGTCAAACTAAATGCCGGTGTACTCGTCAATGCTCTGGCCAGACTGCTTGCGACTCCAAATATTGTTCGCCCAAACATAGGATGATGGAACTTCTCGTCATGAAGGCACAACTTAAAAAAAGCTGTTAAAGTTCAGGTTTTTCAGGTTTTCGGCGATAGCTCCCGCAGTTCGTTCAGTGAAGTAAATCCGCTGTCCGTTCCCTAAGTGCACTGCCAGCTTTACGATTGCTGGATGCCTCTGGTGAATTGGGAAGTCAAAAACGCGCCAAAAACCTCATTGGTGCTGAGGTACCGCCCAGCCAAGTACTGCGAAACTTCGTCTCAGCTGTTGTCCCTGCTTAACGCTGAACATGGCGGCATCGCTGCCCTTGTTAACGTAATTACATATGTATTTAATGGAGCGGACGTAATTTCAGAACCCAACGGTTATATGAGCATTGAATATTCTATGAGAAGGGGACAGTAGGGGACCACCCAACTATTGTAAACACGGTACACCCCCAACTTCATCGTTCACCCGCCCCTGGACCTCACCCTTTGCCGGTACAAAGTATATCCGATCCCACCGGTTTGCATCTCATCAATAAATGTCTTATGTAACCCCTTAGAGCACGGTGCGCCGTTTTGACAGCAGGGGCGTGCCTCGTAGCCTGGACCGCATGGCCCGTGGACCATGTGGGATCTCAAAGCCTCAAATAGGTCCCTGTCCTCATCCGGATCCTGAATTTCGGCAGAATGGCGCTAGAATTTGACTGGCGTCAATTATTGTAAAAAGCCAAATGATTATGTGAGCATGGTGTAGTTCCCTTTTTTGCCACTCAACTGTGTACCTGTCACATCTAACAGACCCTAAAATCTGCCCCTTCACTATTAAGTCCATAAGTTTTCCCAGAATACGCGGGCGGTAATGTCATGTTTGTGAGTGTAATCCTGTCCAGGTAGGAGTTCACGCGTTATCTCAACCCATTTGGGGTTGCAAGTAAACGTTATAAACAAGTCTGGCCGCCCATATTGCTTAACGTATGTCATAGCGTTCTGCGTGCGTTCATGAATATAACGTCCCCCAGTGTAGATTGAGTGCAGAATGCACAGCTTCTCTAGGTCGCGTGGATTGACTTCATTTCGAAGGCTGTCGCGTAAGTGTATGTAGGAGTCTGAGGGCAGCTGTTTCTGATGATTCCGTATAAAACAAAGCCTTTTCTATTCCATCTTAGCGACCATGTCAACCGCAAACTGGTGGAAATACTCCCTGCATCTATGAAGCAGGTTGAAGTCTCCATCCCTAACCATGAACCGGTATGAGTAAAAGGCCTTGCGCGATAAGCCTTTGGAAGACTTTGTAGGTTGTCCACCCGGAGTATGAAGGGGAATGCCGAAGTGGTAGCCATCTTCATAAGGGAAAAGTAAAGGGTACTGCAATGCGTCATATGATCGATCGGTATCTGAAATCCTGCGAAGGGCGTCGTCTCTTGATTTGAGGACGATATCGCGAGTGCGGTCTTGCTCCCCATGTATAATAGCGGCCACTTCGTTGCACGCAGGAACATTGTAGCAGCGTTCGTGTTCATCAGGAGGCCGTTTGTCGGCGTCAATTACAATGCTGAAGGAAGGAAAAGGAGCATTTTCCAAAGTATATTTGAAACTGTGAATTTAGCTGTTAACTTCGTGAAGTAGGCCTGAAGCAGTAGTGTGACGTCCCTGCGAGGAACTCTTCCAGACGGCGGCAAAATACCAATCCGGGTTTCGGCCTGTAGGTTGTAGTCTGCAATAAAGTACAGTTGAAGGAATTTAGGCGTAGAAATCTCCTCAGGTAGCAGAGACCCAATGCGATGTTATACCTGCCTCTGTACTTTGAAAGTGGACATCCAACCATCTTCTTGAACCACCTGAGCCGAAATGAGATCATTTGAAAGTTGTTGTTGTATAGCTTAATTGTTTTAAGGAAGTGGTTGGAGTCGGGATGGAAACCGGCTATTAGTCCCCTCAACGGGCTAGGTGGTTCATGCAGAGGCGGCAGTCAAACATTGCCGGAGGAGCAGCACACACCGGCCGGCTCTCCGGCCCATTTGTTGGCATTACAGAATTGGCAAACGCAGGTCATGGACTCTATATTGATGTCGTCACGCGTAGTTAAGTTAATGCCGGTGTCGTAAATGAAAGCTAAGAAAGACTAAAAAGAGCAACTGGGACAGGTAACATCACGGGCTGCGAGCTTGGGAAGTTTGAGATAAGCGCACAGCGACCATGTTTGTAGCAGTCCTTGAAAGTCTGTTTGCCCTTGTCTTTGGGCCCCTGGAGCTTCTGGCAGCAGAAGTCGCTGCAGCGTTGCGGGCATTGCGATTTGCCCACTGAAGCTCTGTCTCGGACAACCCTCAACCTAGCTGTTGCAGGAGCGTCCCTGGATTGACGGGCGCGCCTGCGGTCAAGTGTCCCTATTGCCCATGATTTCGCAGTGGCAGCAGCGTTTGCGAAAAATATAGCCAAAAATCAGCTTGACTGGATTTGAATTGTAAGTCAAAAGTGGCATGATTTTATCGATTTTTTCCGAAAATTGATACCGATATTGAAGAAAAAGGTTAGCAACTAATAACTGTTGATAAAACTAATGCTCAACAGGATTTTCCGGTAAATTCCTTGCAGTTTGCGAAAAACAGAGCCGAAAATCAGCTACATTGGATTTGAATCGGATGTCCCAAAGTGATCGATTTTTTTTCCGATAACTGATAACAAGTTTTAAAAACAAAGAACATCACCTCAAAACTATAAGTTGCTCAACGTGAGTTTGGTAGATATCACTTGTAATTTGTGATCAACTATCACTGAAAAACTGATGAGATTTTTTTCGAATCAATATTTAACCCCTTATCGGTTTTATCGATTTTTTCCAAACTCGGCGGAACAATCGAAAAATCCGAAAACGTCAAGTACGAATGCCGGAAATTTCCGATATGCGTGTGAATTTTCATACCAATCGGACGAACGGATTGACTAACTCACAGACAGACACACTAACAGGATGCCATTTATATATAGATACAGATATTGAGCGCTTTCCAATAAGTACTGCGTATATGTAATATATAAATAATATATATATAAAAAATTGCATATATATATATATATATATATATATATATATATATATATATATATATATATATATATATATATATGTATGTGCAATATTTTATATATATATTATAGCTTCCTATAACTTTTTCTATAAATATTTTCATGGTAAAGTTTCTGATGAACTTTCGGCTATTGTACATATAGGAATTTGAGACATAAGGTATTATGGTGACTGAAGTAAGAATAGTAAATAAGAATGTGTTGTTTTGGTGCAAGACATATTATACTTGTTTGGGTCAGTGAGTGTGACTGGCTAAGTTTAAAATAAGACAGACTGATGACCAGTCTTTCACTATCCACCTCGTTTGGCCTTTTCCTAATTTTTTGTATTTTCAAAACAAATATTACTTTCCTCTATGGTACCTAAACATTAATTTAAGCCCAGTGCTATATTGGCGGTAAGACCTCACCATATTACAACTGAAATCGCCAGATGTATCCGTAAGTTCTACGTTAACAGTTTTTTTTCCATTCGCTTGTGAAATTTTCTTCCGGCGTCTTGCTTTCCAGTCAAATATATCGTTAAAATTTTAAATGCAGAATCTGTCGTTTTTGTATGTCTTCTTGATTCCTGTTTTTTATTGTTTCATCTGCTTGATAATTGTTTTTGTTAATTCTTTCACGCACCTTAACCCTTGCGTCTTAGTGGCTTTATTGTCTTGCTTTTGGTAAAATGTTTAAATTTTATAAACTACGTTAGCACTTAATTCGAACCCCCGATCTGAAATCCACAGCTAAACGAAATAGCAATACAGCAGTTGACGTATACAGATATATTTAAGTAATATTCATTTATTAGGATATACGTTTTGCATAATTCTGTTTAGTAAGGACAGAGAAATCGACGTCTCAGCTTCAAGTTAAAAACGAATTATTTTTTTGATCACTTCGCGTTAGGCATGAATCTATTTTATTTCATTTGTTGCTTAAGTACTAATGCACACATAGATTTCTTGTTTTGAGTTTATGAGAGGGAATACTCTGAATTCAAACCTACTTGAACTGGGTTGTGCAAGTGTTACTTGATCCTATTGTTCATTTTAGTTCTTTGTGTAAACGAGTTATTCTTTTAGATTCAAAGAACAGACATTTATATGGATTATTTCTTATTATTGCTATTGTCATCAACATCATTGTTATTACCACAACTTTTCGGCCGTTGTGGCCCCCGGCTAATTGTCGATCAGGATAACCTTTAGATTCTTCTGAACTGAGCCTTTTGTTTAATCTACGGTGGTAGGATTTTCTCGTTTAGCTGACCAAGCCTCGGGATACTTCGTGCAATTGTTCTTTACGAACTTCACGGCGAGGAAATTTTAGAACACTCAAAGCAAATGAAAAATGGGGAACTGATATTATCGCACTTCGTAGCACTTATAAGTAAGGCTTCGACAACTTGACGTGACGCTTGGATTACTTTGTCTGAAGACTGTTTCCAAACAGCTTATATTTTCTTTATCACGGACCTGAAGCTTTTTATTTATAGTTATGGACTAGTTCATATAGTCTCCACGGGTTCACTGTATACATCACAACTTCCCTCTTTTGAGATTAATAGTTCTTATAAATATTTTATTTTTTTATTAATATTATTATCTCCCTCTACTCTTTCTGAAGAATTCGCCAGTATAGTTGACTTTGTAGCGTTTCTATCTTGAATCCACTCCCATTTCATCAGCATGATTTTTTTCCTGGAAATTGTCCTTGTAGTTTCCATGACTTGTTGTGGTGATGGCAGTTCGAAAACATCATATAGCATTTTTATGTTCTTCCAGTGTTTCAGATCTTTCATTTTTTTCAGCTGATTCTGGTGCCTTTTATATTCAATTTTTTTTCCCTTTTACCATGTAAATCAACTTCTCAATTCTTGATGATATTATGCCGACTTCTCACGTTTCTTTGCCATCCTCTAAAGAACACGTTATCGCTGATATTGAAGCTTTTGGTGCTGTTTTTTTTTTTTTTTTTTGTTATCCGTTCGTGTTTTTCGGCTTAGTAATAACTTGCCGAACACCAATTTTACTCTTCTGGCCAACATGAATTCCTCCGGTGATATGCCTGATAGTGTATTGGGATTAGTTTTACAAGCTAAGCTCTCCGAAAATTTTAAAGAGCTTCCATATTTACTTTCTCGGGACTTGCTTTTTTCAACGCTCCATAGAAAGTTACCCCAAACCTTTCCTTTTGTCCGTTTAAACCTCGGTCGTATAAACGGGTTCTGGGCGTAGCCTCCTTCGGGTTCCTCCCGCCCGTAGGAAGAGAGTTAAACCGAACAGTCGGTTCAGAGTTGAACGACTGACGATATTCAGTCACCCCCCCCCCCCCCACGAGGGTGTCATGTGGCATAAGGCCTTTTTAACGTGGGCAATTCCCAAGCCATTAGGTTCGGCCCAAAATAGGCCCATTTGAACCCGTATAAACGGGTTCAGGGCCGGTTTACCTGCCCGAAGGAGACTCCGCCCTTCGGCGTAGCCTCCTTCGGGTTCCTCCCCGCCCGTAGGAAGAGAGTTAAACTGAACAGTCGCTCAGAAAGTGAGCGACTGACGATATTCAGTCACCCCCCACGAGGGTGTCATGTGGCACAAAGGCCTTTTAACGTGGGCAATTCCCAAGCCATTAGGCTCGGCCAAAAAATAGCCCATTTGAACCCGTATAAACGGGTTCAGGGCCAGTTTACCTCCCCGAAGGAGACTCCGCCCTTCGGCGTAGCCTCCTTCGGGTTCCTCCCGCCCGTAGGAAGAGATGAACCAAACAGTCGGTTCAGAGGTGAACGACTGACAATATTCAGTCACCCCCCACGAGGGTGTCATGTGGCACAAGGCCTTTTTAACGTGGGCATTCCCGAGCCATTAGGCTCGGCCAAAAAATAGCCCATTTGAACCCGTATAAACGGGTTCTGGGCCAATTTAACCTCCCGAAGGAGACTCCGCCCTTCGGCGTAGCCTCCCCTTCAGGTTCCTCCCGCCCGTAGGCAGAGAGTTTAACCGTGCAGTCGCTCAGAAAGTGAACGACTGACAATATTCAGTCACCCCCCCAAAAGGGTGTCATGTGGCACAAGGCCTTTTTAACGTGGGAATTCCCGAGCCATTAGGCTCGGCAAAAAAAACCCATTTGAACCCGTATGAACGGGTCCAGGGCCGGTTTAACCTCCCGAAGGAGACTCCGCCCTTCGGCGTAGCCTCCTTCAGGTTCCTCTCGCCCGTAGGAAGAGAGTTGAACCGAACAGTCAGTTCAAAAGTGAACGACTGACAATATTCAGTCACCCCCACGAGGGTGTCATGTGGCACAAAGGCTTTTTAACGTGGGAATTCCCGAGCCATTAGGCTCGGCAAAAAATAACCCATTTGAACCCGTATAAACGGGTTCTGGGCCGATTTTACCTCCCGAAGGAGACTCCGCCCTTCGGCGTAGCCTCCTTCGGTTTCCTCGCCCGTAGGAAGAGAGTTGAACCATGCAGTCGGTTCAGAGGTGAACGACTGACAATATTCAGTCCCCCCCACGAGGGTGTCATGTGGCACAAAGGCCTTTTTTAACGTGGGAATTCCCGAGCCATTAGGCTCGGAAAAACCAACCCATTTGAACCGGTATAAACAGGTTCAGGGGTTTACCTCCCCGAAGGAGCCTCCGCCCTTCGGCGTAGCCTCCTTCGGGTTCCTCTCGCCCGTAGGAAGAGAGTTTATCGCTCAGAAAGTGAACGACTGACAATATTCAGTCACCCCCACAAGGGTGTCATGTGGCACAAGGCCTTTTTAACGTGGGAATTCCCGAGCCATTAGGCTCGGCCATCTTGACCCATTTGAACCCGTATGAACGGGTCCAGGGCCAGTTTAACCTCCCCGAAGGAGACTCCGCCCTTCGGCGTAGCCTCCTTCAGGTTCCTCTCGCCCGTAGGAAAGAGTTGAACCGAACAGTCAGTTCAAAAGTGAACGACTGACAATATTCAGTCACCCCCACGAGGGTGTCATGTGGCACAAGGCTTTTTTTAACGTGGGAATTCCCGAGCCATTTCGGCCCTCCCATTTGAACCCGTATAAACGGGTTCTGGGCCGATTTACCTCCCGAAGGAGACTCCGCCCTTCGGCGTAGCCTCCTTCGGTTTCCTCTCGCCCGTAGGAAGAGAGTTGAACCGAACAGTCGGTTCAGAGGTGAACGACGACAATATTCAGAACGAGGGTGTCATGTGGCACAAAGGCCTTTTTAACG